AGAATCAGAATTTGATGCTCTTTCTAAATAGATGTTCAGAATTATTTTTTGAGTTAAGACTCTTAATTAGAAGCAAATATTTGTATGAACTCAAAATAGTAATCCGTACAAACATTAAGTTAAAGCGTTTTGACGGTGTGGGTTTCGTGTTATCCTCTTTTCATTCACACTCCACACTCAAATCCTCTCCTCTGCTTTTTCTTTTCCACGTTTATCAGCTAGGCATTTCACTTCCTATTGAGCACGAAATAAAAGATGTATCTGCTACAATTCGTTTGTCATTTTGACACGAAAATAGACGAATCGCCGGCTCCTATACTGTTTACCAACAGCCATGCGACTCTCTTTTTTGTTCAGCAGTTTCTACAAGAGGACGACGGGCACAAAAAGCATGCATGCGGTTTTTAGAAGTCAACATTTGGGTATCCATCGAAGGCAATCTATTGAAAACCGAGACCTTCAACAGATACTATACACGGCGAACAATTGTGCACATCTGTTTCACCACTAAATGAAACAGTTCTGTAAAATACGAATGTTAAAGAGTGTTGAAATATATACCGAGAAAAGTGATACCACCTCCCTCCTGTTCCATAGACAGACAGAATGGGTAAAGTTCTCTAATGTCATAGACCGTGACAGACATGTCGCAGTGAATTTGATAAACAGTTAGAGAGATATAGTTTTAGGAATATTGTGAGATTTTCAAGGAGATCGAGCTTCTGATTGACGAAAATCTTCAACGACCGAATACTGTGATAGACGGCGACGCAAATGATCAGTAGTATCTCAGTAGGCCTCTTGAGACACGGCAAACAGTACTGAAATTAGACGATGCTGAGCGAAACTCATTGAGCGACGATGAGAAACTACAGTTGTCGTTGTTCCGACTCGATGGAGAACCCAAAAATATGATAATGTGTTTTAATGCTCAGGTACTTCAGAATGACTGCGAGCATCAGATTAAAACAAATGAAAACCAACAAAAAAAAATGAACTGAAGACAGAGACTGATCGACAGCAGCATAGTAACGATTGAGGAAGACAGAAGAGCTCCTACTACATGATAGAATGCAAAAGAAATCTGATAGATTAGACAGACAAAAAACATTCGATTCGAACTTTTCCGCAATCATAAAAATCTGCTGTGACCTAGAGGATGAAACTCAGTTTCGTATTTGAGCTCCATCAGGGGCTGCAGGCACAAGCTTTTTGATTCTCTCATGGACTGTGATCAACGTAACTTTATTTCTCGATCGCGACTCAAGTAGTTCCATCGTGTTTCGAATAGTCGTAAATCTTATCGAAAGAGTTAGGTTTAGGTGGTTGACGAGATAGTACTGCTATTGCTTCAGACTATTGTATTCTATTAAAGAAATTCAAAGAAAAAAAAATAATGGGTGATGAGATACTCGAAAGTGAAATTGAGAGAAAGCGCGATAAATGATGAAAACTAAAGGCAAATAAGAGAAGAGTGATATTAGAAAGAGAGGAAAGGATTACGACATATCTCAGAGAACTAATGAGAATAGTGGCAAAAAATAGAGCCGAGAAGGTGGTTACAAAATCCATGAAAAGGCTGAATTCATCTCGAAAATTGGACTACAATACCAAAACAACCTCTGCCACTGATCCAAACACCGATGTCATCGATACAAGCACAGAGAAAATGAATTAATTACCGTTCTACCGATGCTAGACATCAGTCTAGAGAATTGATTGGATTCGAATTTTCAACTTTTCCCCCTCACCCACGCGGATACGGTTCGAGAAAGGATAACGGGGGGACCGGTCCCCGAGAAAAAATTTCTAGTGACAATTTACCAGATGTTTGCTGATTTGAACACTTTAAAAGCGTGCTTTTCATAAGTATGCCTTTGAACTGACATTTATGTCAATCGACGAATGTGAATTATGGGTTGTTTGCATCGACTTTTTGTTTGTATTAATTAGGTCCTGTATGTGTAGGATGTATATCGTCACATTTAGTTTTTTCTACTTTGTGATTGGTATATCATAGTTTGTACGTAGGTTTTTTTGAACAAATATTCATCAAGAATAATGAGCAAAAAAAACAGAAAGATATTACTATATACTTCGGATCAAACAAGAAATCTAAAGATCAGAAATGTACCCAAAAGGAGGGTTGGGGATCGATTCTTCTCTCCCCTCCCCGGAAAGATTTAAATACTTGGAGGATATGGATTGACTACTTTTTACAAGCTAAAAAGCTAGCTCTTTCCATGGCGACGCCCCCCCCCCCCTTTAAAAAGCCTCTGGGCACGTGCCTGCATTCACGCTAATCCTCTCACTCGCACAAAGCCCTTCTAAATTCGAAGTGTCGAAAAGTCGAACCGAATTTTCCGCTTGCACATATATGAATTTCAACTTTTCCTATCACTGCTGTTGGACACTTGACGATAACAGTGATACTCGTTTCTTATTTTGTCTCTCTAAAACATGACACTGATATCTATCAAATCAACCATGGTTCTATAGAATAGTAAATCGTAGAGAAAAAGCAATGCTTTTTGCAAATTTTTCTCATTCGCGAACATTCATCTGAACAATTCAAACATTTAAATATACATGAGAAGATTAATTAATAAAGAGTTTGAAAAGTATTTTCATTTTTTTTCTTCGTTATTTAAATGAATAAACACTAAATCATATTCCAAATATTTGTTTCCCATGAAGATCTTTTATTCTTTAAGATGGACTCGAAATAGAATAAGAAATATTTTATTTAATGAACAAAATTTCCTAGAAAATAAAAATGTTCTCTTTTCACATGAAATTTTCTTAGTGAAACAATTCTATTTTAATGGAAATTTCAAGTAGAAAGAAATCAATTTCAAAATCACTATGAACAGATTTATCTTTTAGATTATCATAATAACAGTTGACTGTTTTTCAATTAATTCAAATGAAAATCAATGAACAGCATAAACATAAAATAACCAATACACATTCTCTTCATCTTAATTTTTAGTAGTCATTTGAATTCAATGTTAGTACAAAAAGTGGAAAAATCTTTTCTTTAAAAGGACACTTTTAATTAAAAAAATAAGTTATTTTATCTTTATGAAATTCGAATTACATTCGAAATGAAACAGAAGAAACAATTGAAATCATCTTTTCGACCTTGTTTTCAGTTGCTACAAGTTTTCCTGATTTTTTCGATAATCTCCAATTTGAAGTATTGTTTTTTAGATTATTTTTATTCTGGCGAGTTTTCTCGGATTTTTTTTCGAATTCTGTTGGGTTTTCGTGGACTTCACTGTCTTCTCAGAGGATTTCAGAGGTTTTCTACATTACTCTAGACCTATGAGTTCCAAAACATTAGAATAAGCTGTACTCTCCCATAGATTTTTCATACTGTACTATTTTGAAAGATAGGTTGGTCTATTTTCAATTGATTTATCTGCCCATAGTAACATCTGCCTGGCTAATCTCTAAAAAGATAAACGAATGATATTAATTTTAATGACACCCTGTCACCGTTGCTCATTTATTCATGGCATTGATTATTTTATGAATTATTTAGATGTTTCTGGAAATTTTTTTCAGTATCAAGTCACATGATGGAGCATTCGATGCTAAGGCAGCATGAACGATTTTCAAGTATATTGAAAACAAACTTGTCCTCCATTCTCTATTTCTTTGCTCTTTTGTTTACTGCTTTTGACTCTTGGGTAGGTGTCGGTGTGGGTGTGGTTGTGAACGTGGATCTGTTGAAGAGAAGATCCACACCCACACCCACACTCAAAACTAGCATTTTGTGTTTGAATATTTAAAACCATGCTGCCATTAGCATCTAAACTAAATGATTCCGAACAATTCATTCTATGTGACTTGATATGGTCTCATAAAGAAAGCTCGCTCTTATTTGGCGTGCGTGCGTGGGTTTAGACATAATTTAGTGGCAATGTTCTCTTCTTTTGTATCCATCTTACAACCGAGTCCACCCACAAACGGTGAATTTCATCCATATCTTCATCTTCCCATACCTGTACAGCCTCAGCCATACCAATACTCAGGTTTATACACGCAAATCTACATTCATGGTCAACACACACAACCACAAAAACAGATACTCGCATACAAATACATCGCCCACACTCATATCATACCCATACGAAAGTCCGACGCATCTCTACAACCTGAAACCGCACTTCACATCATACACACATACCGACACCTCACATCCACATACGCAGCCACAAACATACTCCCCATATACAGTCAAAGACAAAAGTTTAAAAGATAATGTATTTTTGATTTTTTCTATAATAACAAGCATCTAACTGAAATCCAAATAGTGATTCGGATAGCCAATGAAGTGCTCTATCAAATACATCCTATAACAAAATTTCATAGATGATTTAAGGTAGCAAGGTTTCTAGAAAACCCAAAACTGTATTTTTCAGGTCTCAGAAGACTTTGCAATAATTCGTTTCTAACAGTACCAACTTAAACAACACAAAATTCTGAAGAAAATCAAGGGTCACCGCCTTCCCTACGGCTTTCCTTTCAAAAGTTAAAAGGATCACAAAAATCGAAAAAATACGATTTTTTGGCGGTTTCTTGATAGATTTCACTTTTTTTCAGTTTTTGTAATGCTTATAACTTTTGAAAGAAAAGTCGTAGGAAAGACGGTGATCCTTCATTTTCTTCAGAATTTTGTGTTGTTTAAGTTGGTACTGTTAGAAACGAATTATTACAAAGTCTTCTGAGACCAACCTTGCTACCTTAAATCATCTATGAAATTTTGTTATAGGATGCATTTGATAGAGCACTTATTGGCTATCCGAATCACTATTTGGATTTCAGTGAGATGCTTGTTATTATAGAAAAAATCAAAAAATACATTTTCTTTTAAACTTTTGTCTTTGACTGTACATCCCACACCCACATTCACACCAAATCACTAGAAATTCTATTTTATTATTCACAACTGGTATTTACATCAGCATTATTGTTTGCTAAGCAGTTCGTATTCACTTAAGTTTTTGTAGCCATGGTAGACGTTTTGTGCTGAACGGTGATTCAAAGTCTTGGCCACTTGTAACTAACTTCATAAGGTGTTCCCACATTTCAATTGTTTGCATTTGCGTATCCGTGCCCTATATTCAGCCATAACTAGAACATCCGAAAATATGGAGATACTCATACTCACCCAACACCATTGTTGGAAATATCGATCCAACCATAGATCTGGACTGGCACATTCTTTAGCTATGTTACTGAGTACCTCATCTCGCTTTAGTTGTTTTTCTCCATCGTGAAGATGCAAGGTTTGGCGAGTTTTGATTGCAGACATCTGAACTATTTCAGCTCGCTCTTTGCGCACGAGTTCATATACCTTTAGTGCTGGATTAATTTCTTCTGTACTACTAATCATAGCGAGACAAGCACCCAGAACGGCTCCATCTTCAACAGCTTGAGCAGCACCTTGGCCAACGTAAGGAAGCATAGGATGAGCCGCATCTCCCATTAATGCTACTTTACTTTTGGTCCACGTAGGTAATGATATGTGATCACATAATTTCCATTCCAAAATTTCTCTCTCTAGTATTAAGTCGAGTAATTTTTTGACACGAATGTTCCAGTTTTTATAAAATTCAACGATTTCTTTTTTATTGCCCTTCGTGGTCCATGATTCTTTAGTACCTATTTTGTCAGGATGAAGTAGAACCAAGTTAAGAAAATGATGATTTCTAATAGGATAACTCATGATGTGTCCGTTAGGTCCCATCCAGCGAAGTACAACAGGATTATTCAACGCCTCAATCAAACTAGCGTCTTTGGTAGCATGTATCTTTTCAGCAGAAATAATCGCTCTCCATGCAGCATCACCTGTCTCTCTAACTTGGTCCACCTGACCATTGAGTGCCAACATTTTTTTCCGAATAGTTGACTTAATACCATCTGCTGCTATCACCACGTCACTTTGCAACCATTTCGAGCAACCTTTGATCATGATTCGAGCATTCTCGAAATCAATATTTTCGACGTACGATCTCGTTTGAATTCGGGCACCAAAGTCTTCAGCTCCATCTTTCAATACTCTTTGGAGATCAGCACGATGTGCAACTAAGATGGGAACTCCGTATGTCTGCTTGATATTTATCATAGAGACTCGGGCGAGCTCATTATCATCAGCGTATCGCCGCAAAGAAAGGGCTTCCAAAGGTACTGCTTGAAGTCGCAATAAATCAAGCATTTTCCACCGATGCAAAATTCGAGACATATTAGGACCGATTTGTATACCTGCACCGACCTATTGCAATAAAATAAGAAAACATTGAAGCTCTGCTAACGAGAACTCCGACAATAATCAAAAACAAACTTCTGTAAGCTGGTCAGCGGCTTCGTATACAACAACTTTCATACCAGTTCGGGCACAGGCCTATTCCGAAGTTGGCAAAGTCATTATAATCAATAGAGTCTAATTTCATCGGTGATAGTGAAGTTAAGAGACTTACCGTGGCAACAGCAAGACCGCCGATGCCGGCGCCTATGACAGCAATATTCAGGATTTTTTTTGCTTTGATGTTATTGATTGACGCCATTCATGACATTCAATAATCTGATTCACATAAAAATCTGAAGAACGGGTAAATCAGATGAAAAATAGATCGATCTATATGTCTGTAGTAGAAACCAATCTTCTGTTCTCAACCCTGGTTTTTCAGTTAACTATTTCTTGCTGAAATATCTGTAATCAAAATGAATGTGCTTAGTCAAAGAATAAAAAACAAATGTAAAGGTTATTTCGCCAACACATTCCCTTTTATTTATTAAAATGCACATACTTATCAGTGCTCTTCTTGACAATGAAAGCACAAGATGCGAAGAAGACAACAATCAAAGGAAAAGGAGAAGAAATAGGTTAAAGCGTACGAATCGATTATCATATGCTTCTTATCAAGTATTCTACGTAGTTTACGTCAGAATGTTTACGTTGCATGTTCCATTTTTAACAAAGTCAGACAACCATATGAAAAGAATAAATCACACTGTTAAATACGTCAAATGATCGGCAAAGAATTAGATCATGATACTGTATCATTAAAATCTTAATAAATTATAGATATCTTATGTTAATATACTAGTCAATATCAATGTCATTCACAACTAAATCAACTTCTGCATGCAAAAACAATTCTATAGGATAACTTTGAATACCATAAACGTAATATATTTACTGCAATCTAATAATAATACATAATGGGTGTGGGTGTTGGTGTGGTTCTACGTGTAAGTGTGGATTACAGTCTTCTATTTGTCAGCATCTAAACTCCTACTCTATTCCCTATTGAATGTATGGATCGAAGAATTTAAACATGGATAACTTTCTCGCATTCATGATGCTACTTGATGATATCGAGTTCAATTTTTTTTTCTTTGAGATCGAAACTTGTTAGCATTGACAGGTGTCACTAGTTGACGCTAAACGTTTTCTTTATATGTTATTGTTTCTTTGACCTTTTCATGTATTACGTAACTGTCGGCTATAACCAACTAGTGATTGATTTCCCATTATTACGTATTTGATTTTTTCCAGTTATTGATTTTCTATCCTCTTGATCAGAAACATTTTGTTTCCTTTATTATTATTATTATTATTATTGTTCATTATTACGTTAAATTTTCATTAACTGAAATAAAACGTTATTCAATATATTCATTGTTCTAATATTACGTGTAACAAAACAGGGTAAGCTGTTTATACTCTACGTGAACTCTCATTCAATGCAAACACTATCCCCATTTTACATGTATAAGGTCGATATACTATTTAAATTAAAACTGCAAGAATCGAGAGTCTCACAAAACTGAACGATCTAATCATTAAATAACGTTGCCTCAAGGAACACATGACTGACTATTGCATGCTGGGAATTCAAGAACTTATGAAAATCATTTTTTAATTTTCAGTTCTAAAATAATGGTTCTAAATTCTTCTTTCACTGTTACTATTTTACAAAATAAATATCTTTTGCAGCACATAAATCTAAGCGATCCGCATGATACTTTCATGGCGATTCTTCACTATTTGTCGATCCACTGTGAAGCAAGTAGTAAGCAGGGCAATTGCCATTTATGACAAACTGCATCAAGTGTCATGAATATCAAACAATGAGAAATTATAACGCAAAGAATCTTTCAAGGTTATATGTGTCTCGTTTTTTTCATGAAATTGCATTGCCTTGATGTCGTTTGAGCTGCCATCGGTGCAGTGCCTCACTTAGTCATCGCTTGTAATTAACCGAGTAATGTCGCCACTGCGCAGACTCTCAAGCATTGCCATAGTCCCCAGCTGTCTCAGGAGCTGTCTCAGATTCAGTCTCGGGCTCAGGCGCTGTGTCAGGGGTTGTTTCTGGTTCAGGCTCAGTTGTTGGATCAGGCGTTGACTCGAGGTAGTTATTGTCCTGGCAGTTGGAATTGGAAGTTGACTCGGGACAATCGTAATTTTCACAATTGAGCGGATCAGGAGTAGGAGTCAGAGTTGAATCCGAACAATTTTCATTATCACGGGGAGATGTTACAGTAGGATGTGCACAATCTGAGACCGATGGATTGCAGTTGCTTGGAGGGTTTAGTAGTGACTGTGGGGGTGAAGCAGAATTTCTTCTTGAAGGTGGTCTTGGTGATAGTTTAGGCTTGGGTAGTGGAGGTGTTAGTAGAATGATTATTCAAATCAATCAAAAGTTAGCAAGACGAGTTTCGATTACGCTTATATGCAATCATATCAATTGCTGATTATTTTGTAAGATTTGAAAGTTACGAATTGATTTCTGTAAGTAAGATTAGGTCTCAATGTTTATCCGTTGTTGACTACCATTTTCATGTTTGGTGATTGATCAGCATTGGTTTCGTGCTGATCATGGTTTCTTTGATCTGTGCAGTTCACTGCTTTATATATTATTCATGCATTGTATTTGTATAGTGGTGATTACAGGTTGCGTGTTTGAAAATATGGACATCATCTGAAATATATGGTTGGTTTTTTTCTTGCATTGGAAAGAAAAAAGAAGTGTTCATATGAATTTTCCTCTTTTGTACAGAGAAAACATGAGAATATGGTTGGGTGATAGTATAGATTTAGTGATATGGCTCATCCAATTACTGATTTGATAATTCGAGATGTTCCCAGAACTGTTGTTGAACTAGTTGTACAATATTTTGGTGTTGTTCTTCTTCTTGTTGGAGATCATGTGCATCTTGAATCTGTTTTAATTGTTGAAATTCATCCTGAAGTTTAGCAATATGTTTAAGTACAATAAAGCCTTCGAGTCCGTTTAATTATTCTTGTTTCCATCGATCCTTGAGATCTAGCTCCTCGAAATCGTAGACTTCTAGATGTGTTTGTTATCTTCGCCGCATAGTTCATTTGTTATCCAACGACTGTAGGATTTATTGCTGAATTATTTAGAATTTATTGACCATACAGTTAATGGGGATGGTTGATGTCTTCAGTGTCTTGGTTGTGACCAATGTTGTAGTTGTTGCTAGTCTCTTCTTCGTCGTTGATTTTGTTGCAGGCGCTGTTGTTGTTGTAAGCGCTCCTGTTGTTGCTGTCATTGGTACATGTGTTGATGTAGTTGTTCTTGTTGTTGGCATCTGAATGCTTCTCTTTGTTCAATGGGTTGTTGATGTCGTCTTTGGCGACGTCTTCGTCGACCTTCGTGTCTCCTTATTATGCTGTTCTTGTGTTGAAAGTTACAAGTCAAACGAACTGAACTTAGAATTATATTTGTGCTGCTAAGTTCTATTATTGGTTGATTTGTTATCACAATTTCACTTGTTAATAATTGATCAAAATTGAATTTGTTTTCATTGTTTTGAATGGGCAGTTCTGTTGGATTACTACCACTTTGGCTATGGTTTGTGTTCGTTCTTCAAAAAAGTGTGAGACAAGCAAAAAACAATTTCGATATTTATTTCCATATGTTATCATAAACAGTTACTCACATCGATTGTTTAAATATTGCTAATGCCTCCTTAAGATTATTCTGTGTGAACATTATATTGGTTAGTTTAAATCTAGAATAATGATGGAATGAAATACTTGTAGCTTCAAGATGAATATTTATTAAAAAAAAAAGGAAAGATACAATAAAAAAATGAATATCAACTACAAGAAGATACGAGTCAATATGTTTAATAGTCAAATATCATAGGTTGAATAGTGAAAATGCAATAAACTATAGTATTTGAAACATTTCACACAGTTAATAGAAAAATAAACATGAAAAAAAAAACAATATTAAACTAATAACTAGATCTAATGATAATACACGAATATCCTGTATTGATAAAAGAAATGAGAAAGAAGAGAACAAACAAGAAAGAAACACTCTTCACAATTTCGATGAATAAACGAAACATGTTTCAATGATTACGTCGTGCCATTATTGTTCTTCGAGCTGCTTCTGTGGTTGGTTGGATCTTTGTCAACATGTCTCATGAAGGTTTTTTGCGTATCAACAAACTTTGTAAAGTACGATTTAATATTTTACAAAGAATTAATCGCATATTTTTGAAACGTGATCTTGAATCAACATAGAATTTTGGCCATATTTCACGATATTCTTTTTTGAAATTTAATACCGGTCCGTTTTCGAATGTATAATAAAGATAAATTCGATCTTTATGTTCATATGTTTTCCTTTTTTCAAAATAATTGGCCATAACTTTTGATTTTTGTTTTGTTTTCTCTTCTAGTTGGTCTGTAAAGTAATATATTATGTAGTTGTTGCTAGGTTTCACTACTTAAATCACTCCATACACTCATAGCATCATATTTAACAAAGAAATTTTCATGTGATGTTGTTAAACTTCGGTGGATATCCATTGACTAATAATATCCTTTATTACTATTGCACCTACATTCACAACAACCTCTCAAATAGTAATATATTGAAACATCTTTTCAACATGAATAGTTAAAACAACAAACAAAATCCTAAAATCTAGAACGTAATTCAATTATAAAACAACACAAATGCAGTCAGTTTCTAAAGCGACATTGATCCTACCGGCAAACCAATCTATTTTTACCCATTTTTCACTATCACATACGTTCTCAAGACTAAGAACAGATTGTTATGGACATTTTCTTCTACACTTGCCTAGTAGAATCACAAAGACTCAGGCAACTTTTTTCCCAACAGATCATTGAATGACGAAGTCTTTAACACTTCTCTGACCTAGTTCATATTCGAAACATATATTAGACACAAAATCAGTATCTCCATTACACGGAGCAAATATCGCTACGATACCAACTAACATAATTGAGTTGTTACTCACAATGGAACCTTTTGTATCGTTCATGAAGAAGATTGAACATGTTCAGATCAAATTACCACTCTCACTGTCAAACTGACAAATTTTAAATGTTACATGATCATAGCAAGCTTGGACCGAGATATTCCACTTTTAAGATATTCATAGTTTTTTTTCCTATAGGAACATTATATTATGAAAACTATTCACATCCAAAGTTTTACATAATTATCAGGTTTTTGAGTGAGTACATTTTTGAAATATATCAATCACATTAGGATCACACTAGATTTACTTTCTTCTCTAAGTTTATTAATAGAAAACTGGAAAAAGATGTATGTATTATATTTCAAAAGTAACATGTATATGAGATAGCTAAAGATTAAGAGCATTGATGCGTGACTTTATGGTTTAGTTAGTTGTTTCTTTGTAATTAGTGATACGAAATCACAATCAAGTGTGCATTTCAAGTAACATTCTCTTTTCTCCTATATGACCACTATCATTTAAGAGAGATGAATTTGATCGAAAAAAAAAGAAACAAATTTAGCAGACATCGCGAAGCATCTTGTTTATCAAATGAAAAGAGAGCTTTCCAAGGAAGATTCAGATTCTATGAAATTGATCAATTTCAACTAGATTTCAAAAATATACTCCCTCAAAAACCTGGTGATTATGCAAAACATTGGATGTGAATAGTTTTCATAATATTATTTTCACATACAAAAAACTATGAATAACTTTAAAATGGAATATCTCGGCCCAAGCTCGCTATGGGCACGTAATATTTAAAATTTGTTAATTTGACGGTGAAACTAACGAAAAACTTCTGTGTTTATAGAACAAGGGCGATTTCTCGACTATAAAGATATGTTATAAAGTGTAGTCAAAGGATTTCAACGTTCCAGAAACGGACTATATTGATAGACTTCCGAAATATGTGTGGTTCAGAATTGCCTATTCCAAAGCTCCAAGGGTGAAAGTCCCAGTCACGAACGCCCAACATGTAAGAATTGCAGCACTATTTAACTACCATCATAGCATCTTTTACTCTGAAAGGCTGGATTAACCCTTTCGATCAAACAAATTCCATCTAATCTGAGCTTCCATTCTCATTCATTCAAATTTGATCAATCTATGAAAATTATACGACTAAACTGGGCTGTAGCACCCACTGATGTGCACTTCTGCTGAAAATTCTCACAAGTCGGGCCTACCCAACTTGCACTTTCACAATTGTCTCGTTTCGAAACGGAACTCTGAATTTCCAAAATCCGCAAAATTCATCAATAAAATTGAATTCTTTAACCTTGAACACTTTGATTAAACTTTATAGAACTTCCTTATTTTTTGGGAAATACTCTGCTTAGTGGAATTTTCGAGTTCATAAATTCAGAAAACAATTGATACAATCGGAGAACAAGTTTGTTTCACAAATAGAGTTTATTTTCATAATGTTTTTGACAAGCGTAAATGTTCACAAATGTTTTAGTTAGTGCACAAGTAAAATGAACAGTATTATGGGACCTATGAAGAATATGAAGAAGAAAGAAGTTCAAATAAAGAAAGTAAAGCAGCAAAAAAGAAAGATTAGATTGAATTTCGATGAACGAAGGCGATGAAGAGTTACTTCATAATGGATGCATTAAAAAAGTTCAGATAGTAGCGATTAAAAGCGAAAACTATAACAAAAGAGAAACAACATTTCAATATGAATTACCTGTATGATTAGCAATAATAATAAGTCGTGATTGCGATGAACTCATTGATATTTTTTAAGAAACGTACGAATTAATTGGATGTGCGTGGCACATAAGTCATTATTAGATTCCTATTGTGTGAGAAAATCTTGTAAAATATCTTTATCACCATCAAGATTGTCATTTAATGAGACGCTGGTTGAGATCTGATCTGGTGATGAATTCGATGATAAAATGATAGTACCTGCAACATAAATTGAAGAACCATCAGTTGATTCCTCATCTGATGATGATGATGATGAAGGTAATAAATCAGATAATGTTGATGAATACAATGTAGACATTGGTGAATCAGCAAAATAATGTCTGTCTTTTAATTCACTATTCGATGACCAATCACTTGAAGTTTCGATTATATGCGAAACATTGGATGAATCTATGAAAAGAAAATGTTATATTTCAACTTCTCTTCTTAATTATAAACTGTCTTGCTTACTTCTAACTTCATCATCATTATCGATCTGAACTTTGACTTTTTTCTACAGACTTTTGGTGATGAGCTTGTTGATTGAGCATTGCTATCATCATCTGAGGACAATTTTCGTTTTGCACTTCGACTAGACATGTGTATTTGACAAGATAAAAGTATACAAGAGGCTAAATATATGAAATAAGATGGGACTGATTTGAATCTAAAAAGCAGCACCGTTTATATGTGTTAAAACAAAGGCAATCTAATTCAAAACTTCTTCGACGACATTGAGCATTGTAAAGTGTACAATAATACCTATAATAATGTCTTCGCTACCGTGACACGTTTCGATTCGGCTAAAGATCTCATCATATGCATTAATATCTTATAAGTATCAAGCTGCCATGAAACGTGTTTCGATGTGGACAGCGAAGGATGTGGGTGTGTTAAACTACCGTGATACTAAATAGTATTGCGTATTTTATAATTGAACTTTTCTGGCAATCAAGCTACTTACGACGCATCTCGACCTTACTTAAGGGTTCTCGTCAGGTAAGTTGGAAATCTAAACAACTGTGTATCGGTCAACTTTTTCAAAATAGTGAAAGTTCGATGAAAGTTAAAAGTAAATTCAACTTTCAACAATTTTTTGAAATTGATCACTAATATTTCTTCATCCTTCAAAAAAGATAAAGCAATATTAGATGTCGCAGCAAATTCAACTATAAGTGTGTATTTATAATTGAATTTTTTATATAAAAGATATTAGAGATTGACAACATCACATGACTTGTTTTCTACCTTATTTAAGGGTCTTCGCCAGCTATGTTTCTTCTTAGGATCTATTCGAATGTAATCGGGAAATCACAAAGAAGATCAATTGATAGGATTTTTTGAATGATAAATTCTCTCAGGATTATATATAGAACTAGTAGATACATTGGCACCGATGATGTGTCAAGGAAACTACGAAACAATGGGTCAAAACAAGGAAAAATTCAAATAAAACAGACTCTTTTGAATAGATATAAAAAGAATTCAAAGGTCTCAGTATAAATTGGGTAATGCATTATTACAATGTATGTTGAAGCAAGTATATGAAATAACGAAACTAATCAAGCAATAATTGTTTGTTGAAAACTTCTCATATGAATCCTAGAATTCTATCTCAATGACTAGAATGAAAGAAATTTACCTAATGGAATATGAATGTTTATAAAAAAAACGTATGACAATTTATAGTTGTAGTCTTTCTTATGCTTATAGATATCTACGATTTCATAGCTGGAATCTAATTTTTATGAAATCTTCATGTGATAAACAGTTCCGAAATGTTTTCAAAACCTTCTCGTATGACATGGATAAAGATGGAGAAAAATGGTATGAAATTGAAGTATAAGTTTTATTTATATCATTGGAGTAGTCTCGCTACATGTGTTATGGATTTATATTATTAATTGTATGTTCTGATATTATATAAAAGGAGGAAAAAAAGAAAAAAATTACCAGATAGTCTTCATTGTTGTTTCCATTTTATTGCAATTGAATTTTACTCGAACAAATATGTAGTTGCTTGTGGCGCGATGACGAGTGTTTGAGCAGATAGGAAATGTTTTACTTGTTTGTTATGAGCTAGTACAGTTGTTCTCGAAGAGTCTATTAAACGGTTTCTTTCAACAAGTATTCAAATATGAAGATAAGAATCATCAACCTATGCGAGAAACTTGTAGAAACGACATGAGCAGACATCAATTTATGTCTTAAAGCTTCTTGCGTGAACATTGCACCTTTTGTCTTCGATAAACAGAAGAAGCCATGTTAACCAGAGCAGCAATTAAAAAAACATGTTCCACATGCAATTGTACAGCTTTTCAACTTTCTATCATTTACATCGCTGTTATTGGGGATACTATGACGTTCTTAACTGGAGAAATATTCTCTTAATGAGATTTCTATGTGTTTATAGTTCCATAAATTAGTCTTACCATCCTCCTAAAGAAAGATCTCTCTAAATGTACTATCGAAAGAATAGAGATTTGTTCAATCCAAATTACAGAATTTTCTTCAGCATATGAAACATAACCTCATACAATCAAAACTACCATCCACAACAGAATATCTAATCTTCACAAACCACAAGCGAGAATCAGGAGTCCTCGTTGCACTCGAAACATCAGTATCGGACCATACAGGAAGTACTCAACACAGCATTTATAGCACACAATGATACCATGGATTCCAACAAGTCGATCCATGCACAACAAACCAGTCAGTTTGAACCATCCATAATTTCATCGCACACTAAACAACAGGTCGAAAGCAAACAAAATTTAAAAATAAAATCGAAAATTGGATGGAATATCAATGATTTCACCCGACTAAATACATTACTCAACAGATGATAAACATCCGACGAAAAATCTAAGCTGACATCACACCCTTCTTCAACTCCTAAAACCGTGATGCGAATATGAAATCGAACACACCAGAAAGCACCTGAGCCGAAACAACTAAACGACAAAGTGTCTAGAGAGATACATACTTCAAAACTAGTCAAAAAAATGACCGTCTCATAACATCAGAAAGCCACGCGTCACAGAGAAATTTGGAAATATGTCACACAATATACTAAAATCCATTAAGAAAGCATAAAGACAATCAAAAACATTAAAGTAAACAAGAAAAATCAAGAAAAAGAAACTTTTCCACATGTGCCTGATATGTGATCCATGAATCAAAACCTTCCAGGAAACGTCGATAACTTCGAAAAGACAAATGATGTCGAAAACTTTTCCAGAGATCAATCTCCTATTTCAAAGAGCTCTTTACGATAAAGGAAAGAAAAACAACAAAAAACCTTGAAATTCCCAAAGGTCATTCGGTATTCTAAAAAGTTTTGCAGGTCTTTGCGCCCATGTCAAGCGAAGAGTACAAAAAATTTAATTTTATCATTTTTTTGTAAAAAAGTGTTCTCTATTTATTTGTCGATGTTTAAAAATTATTCCAGCTATTTTGAATAGCTTCAAAGCAGTCGGAGCGTGACAGGAATGGTTTTGACAGAGAGTGCTTTGATTTTCGAGAAAATAACTCGAAAACTCTCCAGTAGACCCATAGATCTATCGATAGAATCTTGTTCTACACACTCTAGTTTTCTTGAAAACTTCTACTTTTCAAGATTCTAGAATTCATTTTCCATTCGACTTTCGTGTTGAACAGTGTAAATTGATCTTGAGTAGATTCGTGTCTTTGGACAATTGAATCGATCTAGAGAAACCAACCCACCTGATGAGCCTGTGTAGCTCCAGTCGAAACGCATCGTGGTAGCTGCTAGACACTCCAGACCCACCCTCGTGGTTTTTGTTCGATGTCCCCTCCCCTCGAAAATGGCAGCATTCGATAGACAATTAAATTCTGCATTCAACATAACTGCTGAGAAAGTTTATACAAATCGTCAAGCAAATCAGGACAAGAACTGAACATGGAAAGGTCCAAGTTGTTTTAGCTCAAAATACGAAATTATTTGTTACCAGTAAACCATCAATTGCTCTTACTTTAAAACCACATGAAATTAAAAAACTTGATCATCCACCTCCGACATCAAAACTATATTATTCAACTTCACTTAAACAAGAAACAATGTATATAATTACGCAAGAATTATTATATTTTAGATTAATTCGTTCATCTTATTCTCCTTACGTAGCTCGAGCATTGCTTGTACTTAAACGCGATGGTACATAGAGAATAATGGTCGTTGATTATCAGAAATTAAACAACAGTACTATTAAAGATAATCATCTATTACCAAACATGGAACAAGCAGTACAAGTACTTGGTGGTGGTTATAAATTCTTTTCTAAACTTGATGTGAAATGTGAATTTTGGCAAATTCCGATTAAACAAGAAGATAAACACAAAACTGCTTTTAGGAGTGTGGGTGTCTTTGAAGTGAAGATGAACACTCACACCCATATCCTTGTAAAGGTATTCTTCTATTACAAGTTGATTTGGCTTCTTGTAACATTGAAGATAGATAAGTCATCTGAATGAGTCCCTTAAGCAAGGACGAAACCGGTCATGGCACCTTCTTCACACCCACCTATCTACACTATCAGACGAATCGGCTGCTCTAAACTTGAATTTCAATGGTCGAGTCAGGGAGTTCTACTCATACTTTGGTCGCTTTATCAGTCTCTCTGATAGGAATATATATCTTGTTATGATTACTTTAAAACTTCTACCTCTGACTTCTATTATGTAATAGCAAAATCATTTTTCTCTTGCTACACATTCTCAAAATCAAACTTTTCTCCTCATCTGGAACTATTTATTAGCTATCTTGTAGCAAAATCCATTTAAAAATATCATTTGCTTTGTATTTAGATCGCAGAAAATGTGCGTCTAATAGATCGACTCTTCATCAACACCCACACCCGATTCAAAACTGATTTGGATCTCCATAATGTAAATATGCTCAACTCAAAAGTGATTTATCAGTTATAAGACTTTCCTTGTCAATATATATTATTTCAAAAAATCGATGACAGCATATTCGGATGAATAATTTAAATTTTATATCAATCGAAAGTTAAACCTTATTTCTATATACATATCTTTGTGTATATTTGTATTTCAGTTTTTTTGTCTTTTGATATGAAGAAAAAGAAAAGAAAAGAAACCATAAATACGGAACATTACAAGAAATAACAAACAGATGTTGTGAGAAAAAAAGAAAAAGAAAACAACAATAATATATATGCCTAGATCTGTATATATATATATATTTTTATTAGGCTGATGAAACAAGAAAAATAAATTCTACAAATGCAACGTTGAAAACATATATCCGTCTAGAAATACGAACGATGCACGACGAAAGAAAGAAAAGTTTACATAAATGTTAAAGCATTGGATGTAAAATTATTCGTACTGTTATCAGTGTCAATATTTGTCGAAGATGATAACATAGGTACTGATGAACTAGTTGGAAACAAATTCGGATAAAAATTATTTTGTTGAAAATAATCATTATGCCAAGACGCTAAACTTTCGAATGCAGATGATGACGGAAGTAGTGGAGGAGGAGGAGGAGCAGAATTTGATGATGTATCATCAATTAAAAGATCTATTTCATCAGTTAAACTATTCATATCATTAAATAATGATGATGTTCCAGATGACACATGAGATGTATCTAAATTATATTCAATTAGAAATAAATATTTATTTATTTGTTTAAATTACCAAATAAATATTGATCTATTGGGTCTGATGATGGTGGCGGAAGAGAGGAAGAAGGAAGAGGAGGAGGCATTGATGGTTGTTTTGAACCATTTTCTGATGTTGATTGTGATTGACGAATAGCAAAAAATTTTCCATCCGGTGTTCGAATGTATGAACCACGAGATGCTTTTATTAGATGAATGCGTACACCAGCTGGAATAATTTCACGTTCTGATGCATTTAACTGAACTTGTAAGGCTAAATAAAGAAAAAGAAAAGAAATGCTCATTTGATATAACATATAATTCAACGAAAGTCGCATGTTTTGAATACTAAGCAAAGATCAAAAAAAGATTGTGTCTTCGGTTTCAATCGGATTTGTATCATTCTGTAGAGTTCGATGATGAAGTGGTTACAATGGCATAATGCATTCTTCTCCGTAGACTTTCTTTGATGAGTTCGGTCGATCTCAACTTTAGAAAATGATTATTTCGGAAATTTTAATTTTTATAACTGTACGCATTTATATACTCAACAAAAATAGAAGTTCTAACTACATCTATATCTTTAATATTGTGAACCTGCAAGCTCTGCAAATAGCATCTCCTTTTCAATAGTCTCCATTCTATTTTGTTGTTTTCTCGCAAGCTTATATGATAAAGTACGAAAGATAAGGCAGGCAATTGAGATATTGACAAATTGTAGCATACTCTAGAGTCGCCCTACAAATAATTATAACAACTATTTTGAACAATTGTTTATTTATGTTGATTGTATGAATATGTACAGTCAGTTAAGAGACATTATGTTAAAGTTTTCAATTTTGAGAACTACGAAGGACTGAAGAATATTCGTGTCTTTCAGTTGTCTTGCGGTATAGGAAGCTGTCTAGCTGAAGAGTTTAGTCAGCATGCTATCAGATAGATGATCTAAAACAATACAGCTATTAGCGACTTGTCCAGAGTTATTCCATACCTAATAATACTGAGGTTTAAACACAATACCTATTGAATACAAGCGGAATAACATTGTCACTCAGACACAATGCCCGCTGATAACTAAACTAATATAATAATTAAAATTTCCGAAATAATAGATTTGAGTCATTTTTCTGAATTTGAGATCGACCTAATTTTTCAACGAAAGTCTATGAGGAAAAACATTTTATGTCATCATAACCAGTTCATCGAATTCTAGAAAGTGACATAAAGTCTATTGAAATCGTAGACTCACTTTTTTGGATCTTTTCTCATCAAATATTTCTATAAAATGCATTTGAATAATTTGATACTTACGATTTCGAAGTATAATTGGTTCTACAGATATTCCATGTTGTTTTAATTGTTCTAATTTTCTATCTGTTGATTGTTGTTGTACATGATAAGGTAATGGTGTCATAGATGCTGTTGATCTTATTGGTTGATACAATGGAAAATGATGTTCAAGTGATGATGTTGAAGGTGAAGTATGAAGATATGAACGTGGCTCATAATCATTAAATAATCGAGAATAACTAAAAAACAAAATACAAGTGAAATAAAATAAAAAAAGAAACGAAAAAATTGTTTTTTAATGTTTACGATCGAGAAGTTTGAATTCTTGAACGATATGAAAAATTATTCATGCGTTTTTCATCTTGATATTCTTTTTCTGCACGTCGTTTTTCAGCTGATGTTAACTGACATTCTTTACGATCAGATAAAAGAGACTCGTGTGTAAATGGAATTTTTGTTATTGATTGAGCATATTGTTTACAAGTCGATATTAAAATAGGATCATCAGTTATTTCATCAATTTTTGTTAATAAGTCAGCAGCTGGCGGTTCTTCTTCAGTCTAATAAAAAAAACTGTTTTTTTTCTTTTATACAAAAAACAAAAGAAGTTTTTACTGCGAAATGCATTAAATTTTCAACTTCATTTTTTGTAAATGGATTTTGTGGTTGTAATTCATCAACAACACGATCTGACATTCCTTGTTTAGCTATTTGTCGATCATAAATACGTTTTTCCATTGTAAAATCAGCTATCAAACGATAGATATAACAATGTCTTTTTTGTCCATAACGATAAACACGACAAACAGCTTGAGCATCAAGACATGGATTCCATGAAACATCCATTACAATAACTCGATTAGCTGCTATTAAATTTATACCAAGACAACCAGCTCTGATACAAACAGACAATAAAAAAAACATTATTTTTTTTTCTAAATTTTCACAATATTTATATTTACCGAGTTGATAGTAAAAATAATTTTGCATTTGAATTTGGTGTATTAAATGCATTGATTAATTTTTCACGTTCAAGACTACTTGTACCACCATCAAGTCCTAGATAAGAATTCAAAGGTTGTTTGCTTAGAATATACATTCATGGGAATTAATCCAGTTCTTCTTTCGTTTAACAGTAAGCAGGATTAAGTAATAAGTTCAATCGAAAAATTAAATATCAAAAATTCGGGTTTAGGTTTTCTAGATAACTCTGTCCTTCGAAAATTCTTTACATAAATCAATATTTTGGAATTGTTATTAGGGTTTACGGTAAGCAAAACAAAAATCTGGTCGAATAATTTTAGTGACCCATTATATGTTACTGAAAAGATTCACCCATTTTTAACATACAACATTAAACTATCTGTTCTATTATAAATAAGATGATTTTAACAATTTATAATGAAAAGTCAAATCAAAGATTTTTGGTAAACCCTAACTACTCTTTGTTTCTCATTTTAAATAGAAGCAAAACATCTGAAATCTTCCAATCATACATCATGTTAGACACTTATGAATTATCAATCTGTTCGAGTAGAATTATTAACTATAACATCCAATGACGATCCTATGTGACAAACAAATGATCTGTCTCTCATCATCATATATACGGTATGCCTGATTAATGTCGAAAAAAAAAATGTCGAAAGGAAAAATGTCGAAAGGAAAAATGTCGAAAAGTAAAAATGTCGAAAGGAAAAATGTCGAAA